AAATGTTGAATGTTTATACGTATTAATGTGTAGACTAACCTTAAAATTGTTTATGGTGGCGGTATGCCCAAATATTGTAGGGTTCAGGGACCTACCTATTTTTTACATTAGGTCTTTTATTTATTTAAGGAAAGTTCCATGAAAATTAAAAAATATTATGTGCAAAATTCGAGCAAGCGGTGTTGCCTATCGCCATATGTGGACGAAGTTTTATAGAGATATTTGTAATATTCATGCAGCTATGTATAGTTCCCCCCACACATCCCCGTGGGTAGACATATGAATGATCATGGTAAAATATTTTTTCCCCAAAATAGGAATATGTATATCACAAAAAGACTTAAAAATTTAATTCAAACAACTCTCTTTCTATCTGGCAAGTGCAGGAGAGAGAGGAGTTGTGTACCTTGCTGCACTGCACATTTTATCTCACTTGTACTGCTGTACCAGGCTTCTCTCCTTGAACATCAAAATGGCATGTGATTCAAAACATAAAAAGCAACTGAAGGAAGCACATGACAAGAGCATTGCTAAATCCAAGAGGAATAAAACAGAAAAAGAAAAAATAGCGCTAAGGCGAACAGCGGTAATAGCCGTCCGGCTCAGAATGAGCACTTACACAGGGGAGAAAGATTGAGAAACTTGTATCTCAAAACGAACTTTTCAACAGTCAGATTGAAATTTCTTTGCCAGTTTTTGACAGATTTCAATGAAACAAAAACTCAGCACAGGAAGAACCTTTCCTCAACATAATACCACCTTCCAATTTTTTCTGTCTTGTAAGATTTATAATTGGTTGAATATTTTATCTCAATAAGAAGAAGGAAGTACAGTAGAGCGTCGATTTAAAGCGATTCAATTTAAGATTATTGATTTAAGTGACACCACAATTAAGGACAATGTTTTAATTTAGCGAATCTTTCCTATTTTGCAGCGAGTCAATCTGGTGCATCATATTTTAAAATTACGTGCTTAATGTTTCTCTGGGCATGTTACACGGTTCTAAGGGCAAAGCTATACTGTACATGTACACCAAAATAATGTACTAAATGATTCCTAAGATTGTTGTCTAGTGCAAACTATAGCATGATTATATTAAAATTAATCACTGCAGAATCTTATAAATTCCAGCAATGTAAATTATATTCTCAGATCACTTCTGTAACATTTTATAAACAAAAAACAAAAACTCAATCTAAAGGACATAAATAAACAAATGAATAGTTCACTAAACCTTCGGCCTCAACTGTCCAAGCGTGTCACTGTCACCTCCCCCTTCCCAGCCAGGGTTGGGTGGTTATAAGCTTCAAGTTTTTTTCTTATATAATATCACAGACTAAAGTTAGGAGAAATAATTTGCATTGCTAGAATCCTTGCAAGACAGCAAATAATTTGAATATAAACATCTGTAAATTTTGCACAGGAGATACAAATTTTAGCCCTTTGTAATAAAATTAATTAAAACTAAAATTTGTATGTCTAATACGAACTATAGCATGTATACAGTATTACCCGCCCTAACGCGGTGTTTCATATAGCGTTTTTCATATCACCTGGTGCCTCGCCAGAGCTGAACTTTCACTTAACGCGGGTTTTTTCCACATATACGCGGTGAGTGTCCGGCTCGAGAGCTATTTTTAGATTCGCCCCACCCCCCACCCGCCACCCTGCCTGACTGCCTGTTTTAGCTCATAAAATTCATACAAATTACCCAGCCAGAATATAATTTACATTGCTGGAATTCTTACAATATGATGATTATTTTGAATATAAACATCATAGATTTTGCATTAGACATACAAATTTTAGATGTAAAGTTTATTCTGAGTAAATATGTTATCTTTTGTGAAAAATATATGACATTTATATTCAAAATATTCCTGGTCTTACAAGGAATCCAGCAATGTCAATTATATTATCCTAACTTTAGTTTGAGGTATTATTTATTACTAAAAGGTAAATATTCTGGTTTTCCCACACATCTGGTGAGACGGTTGGTGGGGGGTGGGGGGGAGGGAGGGACCGAACGACCATCTGTTACAGTGAAGAATATTTTTATTTTTTTATTAACTAAAGATATTTGTTTTAGCTCATAAAATTCATACAATTACCCGGTCAGAATATAATTTACATTGCTGGAATTCTTATAATTTGGTGATCATTTTGAATATAAACATCATAGATTTTGCATTAGACATACAAATTTTAGATGTAAAGTTTATTCTGAGTAAATATGTTATCTTTTGTGAAAAATATATGACATTTATATTCAAAATATTCCTGGTCTTACAAGGAATCCAGCAATGTCAATTATATTATCCTAACTTTAATCTGAGGTATTATTTAATACAAAATGTTAAAATTTAGTTTTTTCACCCAACCTTTCTCTTGAAGGGAGGATTGGTGGAGGGTGGGGGGGAGGGTTGGGACTGACCGCGCGGTTGGAAGAGGGGGGGAGGCAAGGTGGGGTACTTTGATTGACAGATAGTGTCGTGAAGAATATTTTTTTTATTATTAACTGAAGATATTTGTTTTAGCTCATAAAATTCATACAAATTACCCGGCCAGAATATAATTTACATTGCTGGAATTCTTACAATTTGGTGATCATTTTGAATATAAACATCATATATTTTGCATTAGACACAAATTTTAGATAAAATGTTTTCTCTGAGTAAATATGTTATCTTTTGTGCAAAATATATGACATTTATATTCAAAATATTCCTGGTCTTACAAGGAATCCAGCAATGTCAATTGTATTATCCTAACTTTAGTTTGAGGTATTATTTATTAAAATTTAGTGGTTTTCCTCAAAATTTCAGAGGAGGGAAGAGCCAGCAGTGTAGGAGAAGAGGGTAGGGGAGTTGAGTCCATTATTTGAATGGACATTAACTTGGCGACTGTATTTCTACTTTTAAATATTAATTGTGTGCATGTACCATCATAAAATTAAGATGTTATTTTTACTACACAACATAGTTACGTGTCGTCAAAGTGAGCTTGGGGGTCACGTTTTATTGGAATTAATCCCATATGTTCTCAAGGTTCACTTATCACAGCCACTTAACGCTGCATCCTCTGGGCTCCCATTGACTGCGAGTGGGTACAACTGTATATTCAAATTAATCACTATTTTATAAGAATTCCAGCAATGTTAATTATATTCTCCCAGGTCAGTTTAGTGATATTTTATAAGAGAAAAACTTAAAGTCACTCTTAAGGACAGATAAATAAATAAGCACTAGACCTTGGCATCAACTGTCAAACATATCACCTCACCTCCCACCCTCCCCCCCATCTTCCCAGCCAGTAAACAGACCATTTTGCATCCCTTAATTTTAGCTGTGTTGATTTATGAGTGTTTGTTTTAACATAATACTACAAAAAACAATGTTTTGTTTATTCTAGGAGATGGGCTGAGGTGCATCTGGGTAGACTCTCAGTCTTTTTAGTATTTTGTGTTTCTCTCAAGTACCAAACTAAATTATTCCATTGAAACAACACTTCGCTTTAGTGTGAATTCGGTTTAAAGTGACCTCTCTTGGAACATATCTATTGTTATATCGACTTTCTACATGGAGAAATGCTGTCTTGAAAATTTAGAAAGGGGTGAGAAACGGTGTAAGGGGGTTGAAAAATTTTTTGAAGGGTAGAAGGGGGGTTACGGGGCTAGAATTGATGTATGTACATATGATCCTTGATATATGACAGGAATATCATAACAATTGACTAATATTAAAATCACCTACACCTTAAACCGGAATTACCCCTTAACTTGGTTTTTTAGAACATGGGGGATTTGGGGGCCCTAACCCCCTGTGCTATACAAGGAATCAGTGTGTATCATTTTAATAAAATTATGGCTATAGGAGGAAAATACACAAAAGTTTTTTCCTAAATACTCCCTGCTGAAATAGTGGGTGCATTTTATATGGACGTGCGTCTTTTTGGACGTGCGTCTTTTTGGACGTGCGTCTTTTTGGACGTACGTCTTATGTGCCCTAAATTGTGGTAACACTCTTGGGTTTGGGCAGGCACTCTCCTGCGAGACATTCGAGGTCTGGCCTGTTACTCACCTCACCACACAAGAGATAATTGTACATAATGAGTCATAGCAAGCTTGGTATTTGAGATAAAGAGGTGGGATTCATTGCTATAGCATTGTAAATAAATTATATACAAACAATTCTACATGATTAATGATGATGCAATAATTATTTCCCTATGTAAGAGTGAGTAGAATATAAAATATTTGTTAAGACTTAATGGAATTGTTTATACATCACTTCATACTTTGTTATTTCATGTCATTGCAATGTGAACCTTATTCCGTTATAAAGCATGCATATTTATAAAAAATAGTCATGGAAGAAAAGTTGTGACAAAAATTAATATTTTGCTGGGTAATAGTGGTATAAATTTTACTTTACGATGAGAATGCCCAGGCCTAGTACAGGTTATTCATTTTTTCCCAAGGATATTAGTTGAAGAGCCACACAAACTAGCACTTATGTAATCTCCTGGCACTTTTTACGTTTTCCCACCCCTCCATCCTTGCCAGCAACAAAAGGCATGGTTCAAAATTCTCACAACACATTATGAATAAATGAAATCACTGTAATGCACGAGAAATCAGCACAAGCCGCAAGAAACTGCATGAGAAATATGGGACAAAGTTATATCCTGGGTCCTTTAAACATAAAAGGGCAACAGGTGTGGTTACTTTGGAGTGTAATTTACATAGTGCCAGATCGCACTGATGTTGCCAAATGTGTGTCTTGTGTGTCTAGCGTTCATATGCAAACATAAAATTATTGTATTTGAATTTTTTACTTCATACACAAATATGCATATGAAAACCCTAGAGTGATAATTTAGATCATCTGCAATTTTGCATATGAAAACCGAAGGAGTGTTAATAATTCTTGGTATAAACTATGGTCAGGTTGACCAAACACCAAGACTCTAATTATGTACTAATTTGATTTTACACTAACCTCTCTGAGTGAGGATTTAGTTCATTGATGATATCTAAGATACTCTCTAACTCCTCCTCTATAGTGATTTTCTTCTTCTTCAGGGATGACATTCGTTTTTCTTCCACTTCCAGTTGAGACTTTAAATTTGCTACATCTTCTCTGGCCATTCTCACCATCCTCTCTCTCGTTGCCATTTCAACTTGAAGCTTAAGAACAATAAAATAAGAATTGAACTCCAAAAAAATGATCAGATAAAATGCCAATCAATTAATGAGAGAAAAATGGTAATGCATCACTTACAAAAGTTTATTCTACAAACTCATTAACATGGTAAGGCTGAAGGGAAGGTAAACAGAGTATATTGCAGTGACATAATTATGTGGTGCAAATAACACTTATAACCCAAACATATGCTTTACAATTTAGATTGGTCTTACTAACTATTCTTGCATACTACATAATTATAGTAAACAGATACAAATCCTCTAAAAATAATTTGGTGGATAACAGTTATTAACTTGAAAAAAGAACTTTATTAACATTATTTACAGATAGTTCCCCTCTTGCCCTTAATGGTGGGAGGGCTGAAACATTACTTCAACCTCCCCATCTTCCTGAGATGTATCTCAGGTTCTGAAAATAGGCATGCCATACTACTTTGTAAAGAATGCTAAGGAGTTAATAACATAATGATTGTAGAGGAGCATGAAACCAAGATAGAGAAGTTAGATCCAGAACAAGACAAATTCAAGCAACAAATAACAGAACTTAGCAATCATTGCAGGAAGGATTAAACAACTTAAAAGAAATCATGGCCAATTAAACACCCACAGTGGTTCAGCCTGATACAGTGGCAGGTGGGGTTAACATAACACAAAATTTTCAGGACAAGATGAAATAACAATTAGAGATAAACAAACACAATGAGAACCTCATTATAAAGAATCTGGAGAGGAAGGAGGACGAGACAGAAGAACAATCAGTTAGACAGATGTTGAGAAATGTGATTGACTTTGGAGAAGAGTTGCACATCACAAAAATGGAGACTTAATAAACCTACAGTGCAGTTGGTGAGAATCACCATCCTTAAACATGGGAACAGGGGCAACATTTTGAAGAAGGTGTGAGACATCAAGCAATTAATGGAATACTGTAATGTCTGCATCTCCCCTGACATGACAATTGAAAAAAAAGGAGCTCAGAGAAAAACTGAAACAGTTATGCAGCGACCCACAATAAGGGAATGCTGAACTAAAGATCAAAAGAGGCAAAGTAGTCATGGTAGAGAAAAACTGGGAGAATGAAGTAATGTTACAGCCCTCCCATCAGTTAGGGAATGAGGCAAACTACAAGATATCTGTAAATAATGTTAATATAGTGCATTTTTCAAGGAGGATGAACAGGTGTATACACAGATGAAAAGATACATTCCTTTGACACCGGATACAGTGTAGCCACAATAATTTGCGGGTTAGGTACCATAAGACATTGTAAATTATCAAATTGCAGATTATAGTTTAATTATTATAAATTAGAATTATTTTTTTCATTCTGGGGGCCAAAAATTACACATAAACTGTTCCAAAACTACTTTAATAAACACTAAACATCATACAGAATTTCCCTTCCACCAAAACAGTACACAAACAGTGCAACGCTGCACTGAATAGGTGGGAGTGGGGTGGTGGTGCCAGGCAAAGCGGGACTGAGGTGGTGCATTGGTGGCGGGCACCCATGGCTGTCAGCAGCATGTGGGAGGAGAAATTCTCATACCGCAGAATATAGAAAAGAAAATTAATTTAAGCTAAGCTTAATTTTCTTACACTGAAAAACAAACTAATTTTAATTTGTTCACTAGAATATATTTGGCAACACATTAACTCACTTCACAACACTTGGCTAAAACAATTCAGACAATTTTTTATGCATCAAAAGTTAAAATTACCAGCAGCAGCGGCTACATAGCAGCTATGCAGCACATAAAACATCATCTGATGAGCTGAATCCACCTAATTTTGGAGAAATGGGTACTTCACTGGAAAGAGAAACTAGCACATGCTGTTGATGGGACAACTGCACTAAAGAAAGTGCGAGTCTGTAAAAGGGTGTGGGAAAGAGGGAGGGAGGGCTGCGGGAAACTGAGGCATGTTTGCCAACTCTGATTCTGCAGCCACTATAATAAATCTATCTTTATTATTACAAAACTGACTGTTTCATACCCTTTTTTCTTCAAATTCATGTAAATACAAATATTAAAGGAAAAATAAATGATGGTTTAATTTACGTTATAAGACTGGTATGTAATAAATATCTCAACAGAATCACTGACAGTTTAGTCATCCAGGGAGGCCAAGGCATTACCTCCGGCCCTCCCTCCTCCTCCTCCTTCCTCTCTGATGTATGTTCATGAAGTTCAGCAGAGAATTTGTCAACCATTTTGTCTGTGATACATACTGTACTGTATCCAGGCCCATAACCATATCATCATTACCAAACAGATTTTTCATTACTGTACTAAATTTCCTTGAATTTGGCACAGTACTGTAATGGAAAATACCAAATGGAAACCCTGCAGCTGGGCTTTCAAGGCTGGAGCAGAGACTTGCACACCAAGTACATTTACCCTAAAATTCAAACACTGTAGCCTTGGCTGTGAATTATGAAAATTTGACAGCAAATTTTCAAAAAGAGGTACCCACGAATTTGTGTGAGCGAATTTGAAAATTGCAGATTATTGCGACTCCACTGTAGCAGGGAACAATCAAAATCATATTGAGTAACTCATTGAGACACACCTGTTTTTTCTGATCAGTCAGTACTTGGACTCGTGCCAGACGGGGCTGTACGTCTTCATGATGGCGATGCCAAAAGAAGATAACAGTGCGCAGGAAATGTAACAAAAGTCCACCAATATCACTGACACGTGACAGGTGGTCACTTGTCATCTTGATTTGCTATGAATATGAGAGATGGGTTACTTTCTCTAAAGTAATAAGGTAAAAACACACATGTACCAGAGAGAGAGGTATATATATATATATATATATATATATATATATATATATATATATATATATATATATATATATATATATATATATATATATATATATATATATATATATATATATATATATATATATATATATATACAGTCAACCCTCACTTTACGCAGTCCCACATTCCGCGTTTACACGGTGCCCTGCCAGAACCCAGGATGCTCACATTCCGCGGTGGGTGTACCCCTTTACACAGTGAAGTATAATTTTTTTATTTAGCTCATAAAATTCATACAAATTATCCGGCCAGAATATAATTTACATTGCTTGAATTCTTACAATTTGATGATCATCTTTAATATAAACATCATAGATTTTGCATTAGACATACAAATTTTAGATATAATGTTTACTCTGAGTAAATATGTTATCTTTTGTGCAAAATATATGACATTTATATTCAAAATATTCCTGGTCTTACAAGGAATCCAGCAATGTCAATTATATTATCCTAACTTTAGTCTGATTTATTATTTATTACTAAAAAGGTAAACAGTCTGGTATTCCCACACATTCATCTGGTAGGGAGGGTTGGTGGGGGGTGGGAGGGAGGGAGGGTTTGGCGACCGACCACCTGGCACGGTGTGAAGAATATTTTTTTTTTATTAACTGAAGATATTTGTTTTAGCTCATAAAATTCATACAAATTACCCGGCCAGAATATAATTTACATTGCTGGAATTCTTACAATTTGATGATCATTTTGAATATAAACATCATATATTTTGCATTAGACATACATATTTTAGATATAATGTTTACTCTGAGTAAATATGTTATATTTTGTGCAAAATATATGACATTTATATTCAAAATATTCCTGGTTTTACAAGGAATCCAGCAATGTCAATTATATTATCCTAACTTTAATCTGAGGTATTATTTAATACTAAATGTTAAAATCTAGTTTTTTCACCCAACCTTTCTCTTGAAGGGAGGATTGGTGGGGGGTGGGGGGGGGGAGGGTTGGGACGGACCGACCATCTGGCGCTTGGAAGAGGGGGGAGGCAAGGTGGGGTACTTTGATTGACAGATAGTGTAGTGAAGAATATTATTATTTTTTTATTAACTGAAGATATTTGTTTTAGCTCATAAAATTCATACAAATTACCCGGCCAGAATATAATTTACATTGCTGGAATTCTTACAATTTGATGATCATTTTGAATATAAACATCATAGATTTTGCATTAGACATACAAATTTTAGATAAAATGTTTACTCTGAGTAAATATGTTATCTTTTGTGCAAAATATATGACATTTGTATTCAAAATATTCCTGGTCTTACAAGGAATCCAGCAATGTCAATTATATTATCCTAACTTTAGTTTTAGGTATTATTTATTACTATACCTGGTTTTCCCCCAAAAATTTCTCAGAGGGAAGAGCCAGCGAGTGTAGTGTGAGAAGAGAGGGAGGGAGTTGAGTCCATTATTTGAATGGACATTAACTTGGCGACTGTATTTCTCTATTTCTCTTAAGTATTAATTTTGTGCATGTACCATCATAAAATTAAGATGTTATTTTTACTAGAACATAGGTATTGGGGTTAAAAGTGAGTTTGGGGGTTTGGGGCTGGTCTCTATTTGTTTTCATCCCATATGTTATGTTATTCACTTTACGCCGCTTCTCACTTCCACAGCCTCAGGTCAAGCATTAACCGCAAGAAGTAGGCCGACTGTGTATATATATATATATATATATATATATATATATATATATATATATATATATATATATATATATATATATAATATATATATATATATATATATATATATATATATATATATATATATATATATATATATATATATATATATATATATATATATATATATATATATATATATATGTTGTACCCCACTTAACGCGGTCAATTGAACCCAGAGGGTCCCGCGTTAAGTGAAAACCGCGTTAAGTGAATAACAGAACATATGGGATTAATTCCAATAGAACCCAGCCCGACCCCCAAACTCCACTTTTTGACGACAAATAACTATGTTGTAGTAAAAATAACATCTTAATTTTATGATGGTACATGCACACAATTAATACTTTAGAGAAATAGAGAAATACAGTCGCCAAGTTAATGTCCATTCAAATAATGGACTCAACTCCCTCCCCCTCTTCTCACACTACACTCACTGGCTCTTCCCTCTGAGAAATTTTTGGGGGAAAACCAGGTATAGTAATAAATAATTCCTCAAACTAAAGTTAGGATAATATAATTGACATTGCTGGATTCCTTGTAAGACCAGGAATATTTTGAATATAAATGTCATATATTTTGGACAAAAGATAACATAATTACCTAGAGAACAATTTTTATCTAAAACTTGTATGTTTAATGCAAAATATATGTTGTTTATATTCAAAATGATCAGCAAATTGTAAGAATTCCAGCAATGTAAATTATATTCTGGCCGGATAATTTGTATGAATTTTATGAGCTAAAACAAATATCTTCAGTTAATAAAAAAAAAAAAATATTCTTCGACACTATCTGTCAATCAAAGTACCCCACCTTGCCTTCCCCCCCTCTTCCAACCGCGTGGTCAGTCCCAACCCTCCCCCCACCCCCCACCAATCCTCCATTCAAGAGTTTTTAACATTTAGTATTAAATAATACCTCAGATTAAAGTTAGGATAATATAATTGACATTGCTGGATTCCTTGTAAGACCAGGAATATTTTGAATATAAATGTCATATATTTTGGACAAAAGATAACATACTTACTCAGATTAAACATTTTATCTAAAAATTGTATGTTTAATGCAAAAAATATGTTGTTTATATTCAAAATGATCACCAAATTATAAGAATTCCAGCAATGTAAATTATATTCTGGCTGGGTAATTTGTATGAATTTTATGAGCTAAAACAGGCAGTCAGGCAGGGTGGCGGGTGGGGGTGGTGCGAATCTAAAAATAGCTCTCGAGCCGGACACTCACCGCGTATATGATGAAAAATGCCGCGTTAAGTAAGTGAAAGTTCAGCTTTGGCAAGGCACCGCGTATATGCGAAAACGCGTTAAGTGAAAGCGCGTTAAGCGGGGTAATATATATATATATATATATATATATATATATATATATATATATATATATATATATATATATATATATATATATATATATATATATATATATATATATATATATATATATATATATATATATATATATATATATATATATATATATATATATATATATATATATATATATATATATATATATATATATATACACACACACAAAGTGGTCCCTCGGCATATATCTAACAGATTTTAAGGATAGAGAAGTCTGTTATATGGAGGTTTCACTACAGTATATACATATTATATAAAGCTCTTATTAGGCATCAAAAATTTTGACAAGAGGAATTGGTGACCTTATTTTAAGTACAGGTGTGCAACAAATGTGAAAATTTTCATAATACGGCACTTATCAATTTACAAACATTTAAGCAACAAACCTCTAACTTTTCTGTTAATGTAGCAATAACGCTTTGCTTGAGGCCTGGAACACACACAGCCGCCAGTTTACTGCAGAAATTATCATCCTGGATTGCATGACGCACTGCACGCCATGACGTATCAGAAGACCCCAGTAATACTACAGCACATTCAAACACTATCTGGATGGCTGATATGGGGGACCGGGACCTGTCCAGTGAATAACTAAGTATTATTACAAATAATATCTCTATTTTCTTATAAAGTTTATGATAGTGAAAAATTTACAGGAGTTAGTGGCTCTACATTTTGGGGTCACTCATAAAAGTAAGTGAGGCACAGCTGGGCAGGTTAGTGCACTGGGAGTGATTAGATTGCTTACATTAATTAGAGTTAGCAAGTACACACAATCAATACAGCTTGGGATGCATTAAGTTAGGTTGAACTCAACTTTTGTTTTAATATTTACACGTGTATTTTAGAAAAGTTATAACAGTAGCTTTAATTAAGAAATTTTATTTTTAATTATCTGAGTACTGTACTGTACAGTAAATTGATGCTTCAGAAGCAAAATAATATAAATTCATAATTTATGATTTGCTTTTGGAATTTTACTGCATTTAAATCATAGAAATTATTTATATCATGCCTTTTCTTCACTCTACTGTACATGATTATCTACACTTAGTATGATCTCTCCAACTGAAATGTAATTGAAGAATATATCAAATGACTATTAAAGAAATTATCATTAAACTGTATATACTATTAAATGGCTCTGAGAGAATAATTAATAAAAAGGAATAACTAATGAAATAATACTGAATTATATAGACAAGGAGTGACATACAGTGTGTGAAGTTAAGGCATCCTATATTAAAATAACATAGCAGTGAAAAGCATTGTTCATGCCAACACATTACAGCATAAAAGTGCTTGTGGAATATGCCGAATATGTCCATAACTAGAGGCAGACCACAAAATATTTAGCAAAAAACACAAGAATGTAAGTAAAAAAAAATTAAATTCAGAGTTTTAGTGAGAAAAAACATGCATACATCAGTTACCATTACCTAAATACTGATATGAACTAAACAGCATCACTAAGTACTGGTGATTAATATGTAACAATTACTTTAGGAGTGAGACAACAGTTATTTCACAACCATCTAAGTTGAAATTATGGCACAAATTTGTTAACAAATAATAAAATTAGCTGTAACCTCCATCTCATACATAGCTAATTCTGACCAACATCTTTGAATTTAGACCTACATTTCTTGACTTCATATGGCTATTATGCTAGATACCTGTTAAGTTATATCAAACTCAGACCACCTGTTTCTGATATATTCCATAAGATGTCCCTTGACTCAGGATCTTAAACTGTGACCTACACCTCTGACTTATGTTCAGGAATATGTAGTATAGTCTCGGTTTACGCGGTCAATTAAACCCGTGGAAGTCCGCATAAAATGAGAAACGCGTAAACGAAATAACAGAACATATGGGATTAATTGAAATAGAGACTGGGCCGACCCCCCAGACTACCCTTTTTCCAACACAATACATACGTTGTAGTAAAAATAACATCTTAATTTCATGATGGTATGCACACACAATTAATATATAGGAGAAATATCAATAATATTAGGTTTTCTAACACTTACATTAGTAGAAGAGATGGTTGGGCACACAGGGATGGGGGGTTGGTTCCGAAGCAGAGGGCAGATTAGTGGCCCTCAGGTGTATCACTTGTATCACCTATATCACTATCAACCACAGAAGCTAGCAGGTCCTCTGTGTCAAACCCCTCAAAGTCAACATCATCACTATCACTGTCACTATCACTGACTTGGGCTGGCTGTGGTGGGTTGCGGGCAAAGAACTCGGTAATGTTTCGTTGACGGCTAGCATTGATGTGGTTGTGATACACCTGGACATACGGCTCCATACATTGCAACAGAAGGTTATTACACACTTCATACCGATGATTGACTGGGTCTTTGGCAAGGATAACCTTGATTTCCTCGGAAAACTCCATGACATTCTTTACATCACCATGTGTTAATTTTTGTTCTTGTTCCGCCAAAACACCTAGCTGCTCACTGACGTCATCATCTTCCAACATCTCGTCGGCAGTCACCTCAGGTTGCCTGATTACCTCCAGGATGTCGTTGTTGGTGGTCTCGGAGAAGCCTGCAGCTCTTACACTTTGTGCAGCCTCTCTTGCAATGTCCAATGCTACAGCAACAGACTGAGGCTCACCAGCCACCACTTGACTCTGCCTCCCACCTGGGATACCCTCCAACACATGCCGCCACGCATGACGAATCGTTGCCACAGACAGCTGCCCCCATGCCTCCACCAAGAAATCAACAGCTTTCTTGACGTTAAACTTTTCCAGAACTGCTTGACTCGCACTTCATGGTCCGCCAAATCTTGTTCTGGATCCTCGTCCTCGCTCTCGTTATCAGTGCCACTCAGAAGGTTCTGCAACTCATCCTTGGTGTTGGTTAAGTTGTTCAGGAGCCGAAACTTCTTTGTGGAGAAAGCAGCCTTGACGTTACATATCAACTCCTGATCCATGGGCTGGATTAACGACGTAGTGTTGGGGGGAAGGAAGACCACTTTTACATTGGGGTGACAATCCAACAATAGAGGCGAGTGTCCTGGTGCGTTGTCAAGGAGCAACAAAATGTTAAATGGAACATTATGTTGCTCGCAGAATTACTTGACATCAGGAACGAAACAGTTGTCAAACCAGGAGAGGGACAGAGCAGTGAACATCCACGCCTTCCCTGAGGTTAGCCAGTGGACATTTAACTTGCTATGTCCAAGTTTTTGTAGGCATGCAGCTTGCGGGCTTTGTGGATCACCAACAACTTCAGCTTACAGGTGCCGGAGGCATTGGTGGTGAACAGGACGGTGATGCACTCCTTCTGCAACTTCCGGCCCCGAGACTTGCTGGCAGACTTGACTACGAAGGTCTTGGAAGGTAATTTCTTCCAAAAGAGCCCGGATTCATCCATGTTGGACACTTGGTCGTCGGTGTACTGTCCTTCCTCCATAATTTCTCGTAAGAATGGTGGAAAATTCATGACCGCAACACGGTCAGCATTCGCTCCTTCACCAACAATTTCAACATGTGATGTTGTTACGACGTTTGAACCCTTGCAGCCACTCAGCGGAAGCAGTGAAGGGTTTGGGCTCTGGAACTCCCATCTTTCGCGCCACTGATACGTACAGTTCTCGGGCGTAGTCCTGCACTGCCCGAGTGTCGACCGCCATGTTCCATCTTGCCTGACGAATCAAGTACCTGACCAATAAACGCTCAGTCTTGAGCAGTACCTTATTCTGACAATACTTCACCATCGACACACCTGCAGACTTTGTGATGCTCATGTCTTCTTTTATCTTGCCGGCATCCTTCTTGATGGTGCGGATCGTTGATTCATTTACTCCATATTGTCTGGCCAGATCCACCTGCCTCGTGCCTTTTTCTAACTCCTGAACGATTTTGTAATTCACTTCATAGCTTAAGGCGCGTCACACCTTCTTGGGCTTGGGGCTGCTTGGTCCAGGTAATTCAAGGTTTTTCTGGGGTGGTGGGGGTCCAGCGGAAGCCATTGTTGAACAGATAAGCGGGCACGAGAGAGCACTGTATACGCGGAGACGGAAGACAATAGGACTGGCACAGACAAGGTCAGGGACTTATCCCCTCTGGTGGCAGGGCACGCAAAGTTACATAAAACCAATCACAGCTAGCAGCGGAGGAAATGCGTGGGTGGTAAAGATGCGTGGCCCAATCACAGTCCGATACGTCATCTGACGTCAGCGGTGACGTAAGAGCGACCTAGTGCGCAGCTGGTCCGCGCCGCTTCCCGTGTAAATTTAGGAATGCACCGCGTAACTAATAATTGGCGCGTCTGGACAGCGGTGACGTCAGCGACCAGCCGCTTGCCACGTAAATGCTGGAATGTACCGCGTAACTAATAATTGCCGCGTCTGGACAGGTGCCGCGTAAATGACCAACCGCGTAAAAGAAATCCGCGTAAACCGAGACTATACTGTAATCTATTTATTATTATCTTTTTACCAGCCAGCGAGCTCACTAGGATTTGCTAAGGTGATTTGGACATACAGTACTGAAAGCGGACAGTGGAAGATTGATAGAAAGAGTGTATAGTTAAGAGGTGGACAGTAGAAGGGAGTGGGTGGGGGGGAGATGACCAGGAAGAGGGAGACCTGAGTGAAGGACCCACTTGAAGTAAGGGCGATGGTCACCTCAGAAGCTCACTCTGGCTATATTACATGATGGCCAAAATCAAGAGTAAAAACAGACACTAGTCACACTATGTGCCATCACTGATTCACTCTTGCTGCTGTAACTTCCTATACTCCACTTGATACCATCTTCTTCTACCATACATTGTACTCCTACAAAATCCAATGGAGGAGAAATATTAAGATATCTTCTATGCCATAATTAACCCCTTAACTACAGGGATGCCTAATTTCAACATTTTATTTGGCGAATGCCAGACAATCACCATAGAGGGGAACCCGTACACAAGGAGTTAAGTAGAGAGAAGAGGACGACAGATTCTTGCCCTTAAACAAAGAAACTTAGGCAGAAAACAAATTTCAGCATATACTATAAGTGACTCGAGTTGGTAAGAAACAAATTCGTTTCATACACCTGGGTAAATCAAGGAAGATGTGTCTTACAAAAATATTTTCTGGGTAGGTAACACACCTCTATTACAGCAGCAGTACAGATAATGATATCTTTCACAATGTAATGCTTTCTCCATGAATTGTCAATATTTACTTGGGGGCAATTTAAGACCAAAGCTATAAGCCATACAAATGTTAAAACCACAGAAGCAATACATAATAAAGCATATGAGCATGAACGATAAACAAATTCATAATCTACAGGGTGTCCCATAAGTTTCCATACAACGTATCACCAACGCCATTACAAGCATAACTCCAGTTGTGCTTGAACGTGTTCTTCAGCAGTGGAGGACACGCACTGAAGAGTGTTTTCAACAGAATGGTAGTCATGTAGAGCATATTATATAAATAAAAATGGATTTTCATATAAAATTTATTTTTCCTATGTATGGAAATTTATGGGACACCCTGTAAAAGCATAAAAAATTTTGGAAAATCAAACATACACTCACAATTAAGCACATATG